TTTATACACCTGGGTGGAGAGAGGCACTGTGAGAGTAAAGTGTCTTGCTCAAGAACACAACACAGTGACCCCGGCCAGGGCACGAGCCTAAAACGCTCAATCCGTATTCAAACGCGCTTCCCTATTGTGTGCACGGATCTACACATGATTCGACCATGCTGAAAAGAAGCTCTTTAGTAACAAATAGGTTGCAATTTTTCAGCAAACTGTTATTGACCGGAATATGCCACTGAAGGCAACATGAATTTTTCATTGTCTCTGTTCATGGTAAGAGAATTGCCTGATGGATTTTTTCTTTCTCTTTTGTTTCATACTTTGCTTAAAAATCTTTGCTCTTGACTTCGATACCGGCAGTTAATTTTGCTTACTAAAGCAAATCCAAATTATATTGCTCTGTTAAATGCAGTCGTATCATTTTCAGGCACCTTTCCTTTTTTCAGCCTCGACTAAACCAAACCATGTACCAGTGGTATTTGATATTACATTCCACCTGTCAAATGGAATTTGTTTATGAAAAGCAAATATTCTAAGTGAAAGTGCATGTGAGCCTAATTGAGTGAAATACTTGGAAAACAGGTTATTGATTGTTTTTTTGTTTTTTTTTTTTATGGATGACTTGGCCCAAGGAATGGATTCCTTTTGGGCGCGGTTTATAACTGGACGAATTTTCAGTTTTATCAGTCATTCTAATCTGTTTTACTGTAATGAATACGACGATTGGACAAGCAATCATTTCTACTTGATTTCAGAACTTATTTCACGTACCTGCATCTATTCACTTTTAAAACTGATATTTACTGTTTTATCTCCACTTTTCACTTTTAAAAAGCACTTGAAAATTATAACCTCTGGACAACTTGTGAAAAAGAGTTCTGATTGACTCATTCCACTTAACCCCAGTACTAACTAACTTATAAATATAGCTATGAGATTTTTAGTTCTTTCTGTTCATGAATGCATGTATGCCATAAAACCCCTGTAAATTGTTAAGTATACACATTTATCCCTTGTTAAAAGGCGTGACCATAGTAAAACTAAGAACTGAAAATATGAATTTTTGAAAATGATATCCTCCTATAAACGTAATTTAATTTTATTTGAGTGTTAATTTTCCTATGAATTGTGGTTTGTTTTTTCACTAGTGTCCTATCCCGATTTGCGCAGCTGGATGTTTTTCTAGTCCATAACAGGTTACCCTCTGCATTTTTGTCAGGTTGCCCTAACACTTGACTGGTATCTATTCATACACCTGGGTGGAGAGAGGCACCTTTGAGAACAAAGTGTCTTGCCTAAGAACACAAGGCAATGTCCCCGGTCATGGAACGAACCCGGACCGCTTGATCTGTATGGCAACACGCTTCGTTATTTAATTTGCACATGGATATAAACACGATTCGTCCGGTTCCCATGATGAAAATGAGGCTCTTTAGTAGTGGAATTGTTTGGTAAGAATGTCATTGACCGGTATGCCTCTGAAGACAACATGAATTTTTCATTGTCTTTCAGTTCACTGTGGGTGATTTGCCTAATGAATTTTTCCTTTCCTTTTTATTTTATATTTCGCCTCAAAATCTTTGCTGTTGATGAAAATACCCGTGCGCGAAGTTAACTTTTTTTTTTTTTTTTTTTTTTTTTTNTCTCTGTTCATGGTAAGAGAATTGCCTGATGGATTTTTTCTTTCTCTTTTGTTTCATACTTTGCTTAAAAATCTTTGCTCTTGACTTCGATACCGGCAGTTAATTTTGTTTTTTTTTTTTTTTTTTTTTGCTAAAGTGGATCCCATTACAATCGAATCGTTTTCAGGCACCTTTCCTTTTTTCACCTTCGACTAAACCAAACCAGGTACCAGTGGTACTTGATATCACATTCCACCTGTCAAGTGGAATTCGTTTATGAAAAGTAAATATTTTAAGTGAAAGTGCATTCGAGACTAATTGAGTGAAATACTTGGAAAATAGGTTATTGATTGTTTTCTTTTTTTATGTATGACTTGACCCAAGAAAATGGATTCCTCTTGGGCTCGGTAATTAACCATGCTAACTGGGTGAATTTTCAATTTTATGAGTCATTCCAAACACTGAATATAACGATTGGGAAAGCCATCATGTCTAATGGTTTTCAGAACTTATCTCACGTTCCTATGCATTTATCTACTTCTAACAACTAAAACCTTTCTTTACTTTTTATATCTTCACTTTTCATTTTCGATAATATGGTATGTTAATTGTGCACTGGCTTTTTATATGTAGGTCTGAGTTGTTTTTGACTTAGGTCAGGTGAAGGAAAGATTTGAAATTTATTTACAAATAAACCAACGCAGTGTCATTCCTAGCCTTGGAACTTAACTGATGTTGGTCTAAAGTTTGTAAGAGTGGTTACCTGCTAGTTAGAAATGGCATCGAAGTGTGTGCGGAGAAGCAGACGAGGTTTTGTAGCAAAATATGTTCTGAAAAAAGATATTTCGATGATACTTCGTTTTCAATCTGAACTTCGTCAAGTTTTAATATAGGTGCTTACAAACATGCCCCAAAAATAGAACATACGGGGGATAAAGGTTTGCCCCGCTCCTAATAATAAATAATGGTAATAGGACTGAGTGGAGTCCAATTCGGTCTGTAATCATACGAGTGATTAACAAAATCGGACGACCGCGAAGCATAACAATTACAATTTTCCACAAAAGTAAAAGTTTCATTTGATAAAGAACTTTTTATTGTCATTTTAAATAGCATAATTATAAAATATGGAGAACAGCTCGCAAAATGGCTGTCAAGTCTCTTTCAAAACAGTCACCAGAGACTAAACCTCCACAGTTTTACAAAGTCAGTCTCAGTCAGTGGTTACTATAGTGATTATAATCAATGTTGTGATTGGTGGATTTAGTGGAGAGGACTTAAAATGATTGGCTTATGTAACTGTCCGATTACAGGTGTCCGATTACAGCCAACTGTCT